TGAAGTTGAGATGAGAGAGTCTTCGGTGCCATAGCCAGCTTTCGTCAGATTGTGCTTTGGATAACAGGCAGATGGCTGGGTTTCCTTTGATTGGTTTGAGATTTAGGGGAAACATTTCACCTTTGCGCTCTGATTTGAGAATAACTTTGTTCGTCTTCTTCTCAATAATTTCCGAACCTTCATCATCGAATGAGACCTTGAGACCAGTACCTCCAACAAGCTGAGATACACTGATGAGATTGTGTTGTAGTCCCTCTACATATGCAACTTTCCTGATTGAGAAATCACCGTTTGTAATCATCCCGTAGCCTTTGATGGTTCCGAAGGAATTGTTCCCAAATTTGACATTTCCACCATTTGAAAGAGATCTGAATTCCCTTAGTTCTTCCTTCCTCCCTGTCATGTGACGCGAGCAGCCACTATCAATGTACCATTCTTCGTCATACTGCTCGTCACTGATAACCTGCAAAAATTAAGCAGATTTAGGAACCCAGAGCTTCTTGGGTCCTCGTGAGCTTTTTACGGGAATAGTAAGAGAGATGTCAACAACATATGTTCTTTTTATTAGTGTTGTTTCATCTTTTCTTTTGATGGTGAAAACTTTGATTTTATTTGGATTTAATGGTTTTGGTATTGATTCTGATTCAGTATCTGAAACCTTCTGTTTTCCTTTTTGTTCAGCTGATGACTGAGATTTTTGAGAAGAGACAGAGTGGACTTTAGGACGAGAAGAGACAGAGGATTTTGAAGAGTTAGAAGAGTTAGAATGAGATAACTCAGAACAGTATGACTTCTTGATTGAAGATTCTAGGTGACTCTTTTGCTTTTGATTAACAGTAGGACCAACTTTAGAGTTTTGACCTCTTTTAATTCCCGAACCAAACCTGTGCTTCTGGTTGAAATCATTCTCTGAACCGAATCTATACGTTCGGTTGTTGTTATGCTCTGTGCCGAACCTCTGCTTTTGGTTGTTGTTTTGCTCAGAACCGAGCCTCAGCTTTCGGTTGTCATTGTGCCCTGAACCGAACTTCTGCTTTCGGTTGTCATTATGCTCTGAACCGAACTTCTGCTTTCGGTCGTCATTATGCTCTGAACCGAACCTCTGCTTTCGGTTGTTGTTCTGCTCAGAACCGAGACTCTGCGTTCGGTTGTCGTTTCTCTCCGTTGATCCAACAAGATTTTTCGCTGGTTTTAAATTCCTGTCTTGATGTGAGAAATAGGCATTTTGCGATTGCCAAAATTGTTTTCTTTCTGAGAGATTTTTCCTGTATCTCTGATTCCTTTCCCGTTTTTGACTTCTCATCTGCTTTGGTTGATGATGGATATTAGCTTTATGTTTTTGATTTTCATTGGTTGATCCACTCTGAACCGATGTTGTTTTGTTTGGAGATGTGACTTCTTTTGCAGGAATTTCTTTCTCTTGAGGGACATCTTTTGTTCCACTGGTACTTGCCATGTTGAAGCAATAAGGTTTATTTAAAGGTTCTGGTACGTATCTGCCTTTGCTTTTCCATGAAGTTCTTTCAGACAGACTTACCGTTTCATCAGCATTGTCAATGGGAGCCGACCAAAAGAACTCATCACAACCATTAACATTGTCTTCGTTCACAATAGCTGTTAGTTCAGCAGTCTGATGTTCGGTTACACCTGTGACTTTGTACACCTGATTCAGAGTGGTTCTAACTTTTTGGTATACAACTGCCTTCTCTACAAGAATCGGGGACTTTTGTTGGGACAACCGAGCGAATTCCACAGAATTTTCTGAGATGAGATTTTTGTGGTTCTCGGGTTCATTCTTGACAAATTCTGAACAATCAACCGTGTCCTCTACAGAAATTTCACTCATATTATCGTCCTCATTAAGCTTAGATGCATTTTCAACATCAATTTTATTTTCCGAGCTTAAGTTGACATTTAGTGAGTCAAATTTTTGTATGGTTTCGGTTCTTAGCTTCAGTTTATCATTTTCATCCAAAAGATTTTTGAGCATATTCTTGTGGTCCTTGGATTTTATGAAAGATTCAATTTTGTCCAGTCCATACAAATATGTTGGATTAACATCCTCAGACGAAATAATACTCTCACAATTATATGCATCAGCATTAATTTCATCTTCCTTAAACTCAAGAAAGGGTAAAATCATGCGATGAATCTTTTGCCCTATTTCACAATTCAAATGAAGCTGAGTAATATTAGTATAAAGACGTTTGGCAATCAGACAAAAAACATTTCGCTGTTTCAAAAGCTTTAAATTGTCTCATTGCAAATAAATGTTTTCATCTTTTATTTTGATTAACTCAGACTCCTTCAGTTCGATCCACATCCACCGTTCCTCACTCTTCGAAGACACCCTGCTTAATTGATCAGTTAGGTTAGAATTGGTGACCCGAGTTTGAGTTAAACTACTATCTAGATGAGAGATTCTTGAATTAACACTTTTTAATTCCTTTTCATATGAGCATTGTGGGACTTTAAATGAGACAAAAACTGATTGTACCTTCTTGATCAGTTCATCAAGTTCGCTGAACTGCTCGCTGAGTGGTTTGGCAGTAAAGCACAGATTCTGCTGTTCTTTGTCATCATTCCCACCATCAGTGTTGTATCCTCTCATCTGAGAAACGTCGGACACCATCAAGCATCTTCCTCCACTGCTCTCTTCTTTCGCTACATAGGCCTTTCCATGTGAAGGCTTCCTCACTTCATCATCTTCAGATTCGGTTGACCATACCTCCACGCCACCGAACTCATCATCAGCTACCGAACCCTGCACAATTAAAGCATTCATGGAAGGGTTAGCAGCAGATTTCTTCTTCCTTAACTCATCAAGCTTTTTCATCAACACAGCTTCTTCATCATTTTCTTCATCCTTTTCTGCCATCTTTTTGAGGACGCAATCTTTTGCATAGTGGTTCTTTCCTCCACAATAATAGCAGCTCACTCCAAAATCTCCTTCAGCCTTCGGTTCCTTCTTTGATTCTTCAGCTTTCGGTTCATCTTTGACCTTTTCAGTGCTATAGCTTCCTTGCCAGTTTCGGTTCCTATTGGTGGGGAATCTTTTCTTGATGAATCTCTTAGGGTTTGACACCATCATAGCATAGTCTTCAGACGTGAGATCATAATCATCCAAGTTGAGATCTCCGTCCTCTATCACAGCTTTGCTTTTCGACAGGAGGGCTAATGAACCTAGACTTGAAACCACGGTCTTCTCCTGCAGTACGATCTTTTCTTGAGATTTTAGGATGCCCACCAGTTTCGCCAAAGAATAGGATTTGAATTGCTCGTGTGCTTTAACGGTGGACATGATTGCTCTCCACTCAGACTTGAGTCCATTTAAAAATGTAACCTTCTGTTCAATAAGCTTCCTTTCGATGTCATGTTTGATCATCTTGCTAAGAAGATGATTGAAGCGATCGAACGTTGGAGTCACCGTTTCTTCCGTTCCTTGCTTGAACTCACCAAACTCAGACAAGAGTAACGTTTGAATGGAGTGTTCAAGATCTTCATCTGTAGAGTACAATTCACGTAGCCTGTCCCATATCTCTTTAGCAGTCGTGCATGAACTTACCAGCCTAAAGGTATCGGATTGAAGAGCAAATCTAATCAATCTTAGCGCTTTGATATTGCACTGAAATTTAACTTTTTCGTCTTGCGCTACATCTTTAACATCTTTCAGAAGATCATTATACTCCTTTTGAGTTTTAATAATCCTTGAAGTTGCTGAATGAGAAAACGGTCCAGAGATAATTGCTTCCCAGATGAGGTATCCATTATCCTCAGATCCTATGACATAATCTTCAAAGTGATTCGCCCAGACTTCATAATCATGGGTGTACAGGATGGGAATCTTCGTTGTTGATCCAATGCTGTTTGAAATATTGATGGGATTGGATTGTGACTCGTCCATAATTGATCGAATAACCTGTTCAAAGATCAGACTTGTAATATATCAAATTAGGGCAAAAATAATAAATATTGAGATACGTCAATTATGAGATGACGGCTCAATAAATATCAATGAATGCGGAATAACCCTAATCGAAGCTTTTTCATAGAAAAGAAGTGTATCGATTACACAGCCTCCTGCTCTGATACCAATTGATGAGTTTAAAACAAACTTAAAGATCGATTAGATCTATGAAACAGGTAGATAAATGACTAGATAAACAATTAAGAACAAGCTAATGGATCAAAAGGTGTCGAATGATTTAATAAACAATCCTCAGAAGAGCTCGATAAAGAACATCAACTGTAGAGGATTTTAGGGTTTACAATAATCAATGAGAGTGACGATCGCAACTATACGCATACATGCATGCATATATTTATAATAAAACCCTAACCGTTTATCTAAGAAAAAAAAGGCTAATCTAGATAAACACGGATTGACAAGCCCAATCTGGTTGTAAAACAAAAGGGCCCAAGACGCAACACAATTATCTTCAACATAAGAAGATAAGTCAATTAATAAAATTGATATTAATTTATTACTACATTTATTGTAATTATTACATTAAAGTATTATGTGAAATATATTAAAATAGAAAAACCTATAAAATGACATGTGCAAAAAATATTAATTCAAAATTATCATAAAATGACATTTGACAAATTGAATGAGAGTGTGACACGCGGCAAAAAAAAAAAAAAAAATCTTCATTTATTAGAGTAGATTAGCCGAGAATTTAAATTTACATTAATGTTTTTCTCTATTTCCTCAAAAATGATTACGTGTACATTTTTTTTTGGGAAATTGCAAATATTATTAATAAAAATAAAAACCCCCGACTAATAAGTAACTATCAATGAGAAAAAGACAAGCAACAAAAACAGAGTATGAAGATTATCAAATACAAAAAGGTGATGATGACCACTCTACCCATGAACAGATACCACATTTACCCTTACATTTAACCCACATATATAGAATTGATTTGATTTGCTCTACATCATACGAATTGAAGGACTAATAAACACCTGATTCGATCGGTAAGATATTTCCATCAATTCCAAACTAGACCATAGCAAATGGTATGGAACCTAGCTTTCATTTTAGGCCTCTTCCCCCAATTTTCAACAAATCCGAGTAGTTCGTCAATGCTATTGAATGACTGATTTTGTATACCGCACCAATTGAAGATTTTATCCCTCACACTTTTTGCAAACGGACACCTTACCAAAATATGATCGGCATCTTCTTCTTCATTTATGCATGCACCACACATAGTAGTTTGAGTCTCGATACCTCTAGCTCTCAGGCCCGACATGGAAGCAATACTCTTTTGAATTACTCGCCATAAGAAGCAGTTAACCTTGTTTGGGACTTCCTTGCTCCATTTGATTGTGGGAATATTCTGAGTTATTCCGTATTGACCATCAACTTTCCACCTTATATCACATACTTTGAAAGCTTTATATTTATCCAAGGAGGACTCCCATGTGTCAGCTCCATTAACTAGCTGTACTGAAGATAGATCGTTCTGGAGGTTATTGAGCTTTGAAGCTAGACCTGCTTCGTGAGGACATGACCGCCAATGACCTGCAAAAAAACCTTCAAAAAAATCTGTTAGCCACAGTACACTTTTTCCTAGAATCAAGAGCATATAGAGAAGGATGTTTAATTTTTAACGCCGTCGAACCAATCCATTTGTCTATCCAGAATAATGTATTGACACCAGATTTAACCTTTAGTCTGAATATGTCATCGAGTTCAACCCCATTTTTTTGTAGGTCCTTTTTTTTCGCCACAATGTTTTTCCATACCCCACTAATATTTCCGTTAGCCATATAATTATGAGGTTTATCATACAGATTTTGGATGTTTTTATGACCCTGCCCCATAGTACGTCTCCATCTACTTTCAAACGCCACCACCACTTAACAATTAGGCCGATGTTTAATGCCCTGATTGACCCCACACCCAACCCACCCTCTGATTTTGGAGTAATGACTTTATCCCATGAGACCCAGTGGATCTTCTTTTTGTCGTCTGTTTCCCCCCACAAAAATTTTCTTCGTATTCATTCCAATGTCTCTGTGACATCAATGGGTGGCATGAATTAGGAAAAGAAATAAATGGGTAAATTTCCTAGCATCGAAGTGATCGGTGTCAATCTCCCACCAAATGACAAAGTCTTGGATTTCCACGAGGACAGTTTGGTTGAAAATTTATCAATAATCGGTTTCCAATTTTTTATAAGATTCATATTTGCTCCCACAGGTACCCCAAGATACGTAAAGGGAAAGGAACCCACTTTATAGCCAAGGATGCTGACCCAATTCAAGGTTTCATTTGCTAATGCAGCTATTCCAAATACTCTTGATTTGTGAAAATTTACCTTTAATCCAGACGCAACGTGAAAACACCTTAAGATCCGAGCCAAGTTTTGAACAAACACCCAACGTCAGTGTAAAACATATGAGTGAGAATGGGCCCATTATTGAACAAACACCCAACGTGAAAACACCTTAAGATCCCTTTTCAGATACCTAAGTTTGGCAGCCAAATATGAGTCTCGACTAACATACCCTACAAAACTTTCCCAAGCCATATGAACTATATTATCAAATGTAGCCTTCAGAATCCATGAGTTGAATAGTTTAAATGGAGGTGGTCCAAAGTCAGTGTCTTGGGATATCAAGGTTATCGGGCTGTGATCTGACAGTTCACGGGTATTTGTAGTGGCCACAATTTATGGAAAGGCATTAAGATAGTTTGCACACGCGAAGAACCTATCTAATTTACTAAGTTTTGCACCTAATCTAGCCATAAATGTGAATTTCTCTCCACCCACGCTAAAGTCTCTAATCTCCATGTCTAGAATGAATTTGTTGAAGGCGGATGCATTTGCCGGACAAAATATATAGTTGAATCTTTCATCTCTCCTCCTAACTGCTTTGAAGTCACCAAATAAAACCTAGTTGCATGGTTTTAATCTTTTAATTGAGTTCAAATTCCCCCATAAGATTTTTTTGATCACCAATATCATGTGGCCCATAAATATTAACAAGAATCGTATTTCCATTGATGCCAATCCAAGTTCCAATGATAATGATAACTTGATTAGATTTTATTACTTTTTTTTTAAAACAGTTAATGTGCCATATGAGAGTAACCCTCCAGATCTCCCGTCTGAGTCAACACCTTCATAATCATAATATTGATCTCCCTAACAAGCAGCTATGTCTAAGTTTTCATGATGAGACAATTGTGTTTCTTGAAGCCCTATGAAATTATATTTGTGGAAATTTCGTAGCTTCCTCACCCAATTCACTTTTACATCCACCCTAATGCCTCTTACATTCAGGGACAAGAAATTCATTGGATACGTTGTTGCTCACCGGTAACTCCAAGCGTTTCCGCAAGAATTCTATTGCTCGCATCAATTTGGAATCCGATTGCAACCCCAATCTCTACTGTTTTCTCGATTTCATTTGAGTGGGAGTCCGATGTACTAGTTTCAGGTATATCCGTTGATTTCAAATTGGTTGAATTCATGTTCAAGTTTAAGTCAAGGCTAGTTGATGTGGGACTGTCTAGATTTAACCGAGACCCAATAGTGGTATCATCGTTTGTTTGTGTGTGGCCTAAATTAAAATGGAACGAAGGGGTTTGATTTGTGCATAAGTGCACGTTATCCCACTTACGTTTTTAGGTTTAGGACTACCACCATTTGAATCACGATCAAATGTACATTCATTTTTTTCCGGTTGAGAAGTAAACGAGAATATAGGAGTGACATTATTTGTTGGGAATGGTACAAAACACCCAAGGGGGACCAAATTTTCAATTGGCCCAATGATAGGATTTTTCTTAAGCCAAAAAGATGAATTAAGGTCCATAAAGGAAACAAAGGGAGCTTTAGTTGACTGTGATGCAGGGGCTGTGGAATCAAGGATTTTAATCGACTCCAGTACTTTAGGAGGGGCGACGACATTAACTGTAGGATATATAGTTGCGCCTAATGGTTCATCAACGTGAGTGTCACTTACTCATAATCTTCTTCCTCATCTTCAGATTCCTCTACTTTATCAAAGGGGGTGGGTTTGAATGGTGACCAATCATCCGTGTATTCCACCACACCTACTCTGTATTTCGTGTTACTGACTTCAATTATAACTTCTTCATTAATCCATGTTCTTCTTGCTGTTAGGATCCCAACCTTCCCCATGGAATAGTCCCTTCTACTTGAGATCGAATCAAATGGGTTTATAACCTTACCGAATCTGCTTGCAATAAGTGAGAAATTATCTTCATCCCAAAATTCCAAGGGAACCCCAAGAATCTTTAGCCAAGCAATTCTTTCATATCGAACATCATGTTGATCAACTCTCCCCAACCATTTGAACCAATCTTTTCATCGACTTTCATCTTCCAGAAATTCATTTTCACTTTTGGAGCACTTAAAGTCAATAACAATTCTTAAACCCCCTAGATATTTGGTTTCTCACGATATTATTCCCAAGGCATGGAGTGTACCCATATGGTCAAGACTGTGAGCTTCACCAAATAGGATATATTTTTTTCTTAGTTATTTACTCATACTAGTGTAAGAGTTTAGTATGATAAAGGTGGTATAGTTACTCTCTTGCCATTTTTTTCTTAGCCATTTTTTTCTTCATGGTTGGCCAGTAGTATCCTGTTCTTAGTATTTTGCAGCATAAAGATCTACCCCCAGTATGATTACCACAATCTCTTTCATGTATGTATTTCAAAACTTCTACAGCCTTAGGATCTTCCAATCATCTAAGGTACGAACCTGCCACATATTTTTTTTTATAGATTTTACCTTGGATCACGAAAAATCTTGAGACTCTTGTTCTGAATGCTCTCTCGCTTTTTTTTTTCTGTTGGTGGGATCGCGTCATTTTGGAGATATTCCATAATGGGTTGGGTCTATGATTGTGTATTTCTTCGAGGATCCTCTTCGTCGGGGTCCCCTTGAGGAAAGATCCTAGGGTTAGGATCTTTGATAACTTCTATGCTTGTCAGATGTTTAGGATCTTCAGATTTTTCAGAGAGGGTTTCTATGGTTGGGGTTATATGGGTTATAAGAATATTTGTCTCTAGTGGGATTGTAAGCGAGTATCCTAAATTGGCTAATGCATCTACTTATGTGTTTTCTTCTTTGGGAACTTGGGTTAGGTTGAAGTTCTCGAAGTCAGAAGCTAATTTCTTAAGGATCTCTAAATATAATGCTAATCTTTCACCTTTCATTGCATAAGATCCATTGAAGTGATTGGTTAGTAATAAAGAATCAACAAATACCTGAAGACCCCTGATTTAAAGATCCTTAGCCAATTGTAGTCCCATGATGAGTGCTTCGTATTCTGCTTCATTGTTGGTAGTTTTGAATTCACAACTAACTGCTTGGGGTAGGATGTCCCCCTGTGGCGAATTTAGTATGATCCTTAGCCCCATTCCTTTTTTTATTTGAAGCTCCATCTGTGAACAATGTCCATTTTCCTTAGGGGTGTCAATTTATAACACGACACGACAAAAATACACGAAACGAAACGAAATTGGGACGAAATCAAAATTCGAATTCATGTTTGTGTTGTGTTCATGTTAAGATTAAAAAACATGATGTTGTGTCGTGTCGTATTTAAGTTCATAAATCGACACGAAATTGACACGATTAAGCATGTGGTTGTCGGGTTTTTCGTGTTTGTCATTTTTATCGTGCTACATAACTTTAAGTATGAATGAAATACACTAATAGTTATGTAATATTATCTTTTTCGTGTCGTATCGCATTGTTGTGTTTTAATTGGTTTGTTTTCGTGTTAATGAAAAAAAAATCGGTGTTGTACAAAACCTTGTCGTGTCGTGTCAGACAAGAACACGACACGAATTCCAGATTTGACAGTCCTAATTTTCTTAGATGTTCATCTTCTAGGAGTTGCTTGCATGGCTTTAATTTCTACTTCTTTTTGTAGATTATCACTAAAGTCAGCCACAAAGTCTGTTAATGATTATGATTTTATGGATGATCTTGGTTTGTATCTAATGTCAAATGTGCTTAGCTTCACCGACCATTTTTCCATTCTCCCCGACATTTCTAGTTTTCTTATAACATTCTTAAGAGGATAATTAGTTTTTACATGTATATTATGTGTTTCAAAATAATATCTTAGATTAAGTAGTTACTAAGGCAAGAACTAATTTTTCGAGGAGAGAGTATATGGTCTTAGGATCCAAGAGACTTTTACTTACATAGTAGATAGGATGTTGATCCCTGTTAATATCCTTGGCCAAATGAAACTTACCATGTTTGAGGATACTGAGAGGTAGAGAAGAAGTGGTTCTCCATCTATAGGCTTTACTACTAGTAGTGTAGAGCTTAGATATATTTTGAGTTCCTGGAAGGCTTTCTCGTGTTCCTCCTTCCACTCAAATATCTTGTTCTTTTTCAAGATATCGTAAAAGGGCTTGCACATTTCTGAGGATCTTGAAATGAACCTGTGAGTGCTGCTACTCTTCCGGTTAGCCTTTAGATGTCTTTTGTTGAAGATGGGGATCTTAGTTCCTTAATCTGTTCCAGGCTTACATCTATCACTCTTTTGGTAACCATGTATGTTACACCCCCAAACCGAAATGGTA